AGGGAAAGCACAAGAAGCCAACTGCTTCCTTGCTCCATTCCCCTCACAGTTGCTCAGCATTCACTACTGTTACATTAGGGATGTCAGCGGATCCTCATCCTTTTCAGCATCTGTTTGTGGATCTGTTGTCCATTAATTTAATGCCTTTTTGAACCGAGTGACCGCCTCCTGTGGAAGCAAGTTCTAGATATTCGCTACCTGCTGGCTGAAGACATACTTGCTTCTGACATATTGGTCTTCTACTGCTTTTATCAAGTGACCCCCTAGCTCTAGTTTCATCCATTTGATCATTGTCATTTCCCTTCTTTGCTCTCCCTCTTTGCTCCTGCTAGTCAAGCCCAAAACAACCGTCCTTTAGTAGCCATTTACAGAAGCATTGCCCATGAACATCCCAGACTGCTCCCAGCAAGAACTACCACCATGTGCCATAAGGCCCCATGCACCAAGAAAAAAAATATCACGGAAGGCTTACCTTTGCTACATTTATCAAAATGGCTCTGAGCATGATAGTCCAAAAAGGGCAACAATTAAGCAGCAAACAGTAATTGCTTAGTAAAGTTTTTGTCTGATGTCCTGAGTACTTGCAACGTTTCTTGAGGGCATCCATATATAACGACTGACTAATATCTGGTTAGAAAAAATGGATATAGGAAACAGGAGCAAAAGTAATGTTTTGGTGTTTCACAAAATGTGTGCCTAGAAAATGGGGAATGTCTTGCGAGGTCATGAAAGGTGGTATTGTAGCAACTAAGGAATTAGCAGAAAAGAAGTTCAATTTACCCAGGGGCTGGAAAAACGAACCTGATAATGACTGAGCAAAGGGTGACTGGGGCAAAGTAAACAATGCAAATGGATGTCGCTGTCTAGAGAGGATGTCACCTCAAAATGGTTTCAGAAAAAGAATTGTTGGAGCTCTCAACCTCTCACTCTCTCTAAAATTATCCTAAATTCCAAAGAGCACAAAATGCTGTTATCACACTCTGAGAACATACCAGTCCAAATTGGGCTCTGCTGTAGATGAGGATACTTTCACACACATTTGCGTCTGCTTCATGAAAAGCTTGTTTAAAAAAAAAAGTATCTATTTAAAACCAGCAACTGGATTAAGCAGGAAGCTCAGCGTATTTCATCGATGGCTGAAAATATTCAAAGGTTGCATGTATCTTAAGGAAAAAAAGTCCCTGAGCATGTAAAACCTTGCTACTTAATGACAAAGAGGCGTGAGACAAAACACAGAGAGTAAATGCTACTGCACTAAAAGCTGATAGCACGACATGCAAAAGACAATGCAATTGCACGAGTTAGTACCCAGCTGCCTGTCATTTAAAAATCTTGTGATACCAACAAAACTGATCTAAAAATCTCATCACATCCTCTTCACAGCAAGTGCTGTCCCTGCGTAGTCTTCCATACAGATTAGTATATAATTTGTTAACGTAATTAAGACTCAATGATTATTTAATCTTACTGATCCAGTCCTTGGACCACATACACACAGCTTATGTGGAGCAAAGTAGGTGAGGATAAATGTCAGCTATGGTGCACATTAGAGCAACCAATACAAACATCCACAATTTTTCAGGATGCTTCATACTTTCCCATTTCTCCCAGTGCATTTGCTGGCACAAAGGAAAACTAGGAGCTGCGCATTGGCTGTTTCGTTACCTAGGAGAACCCACAGAGCTGGAAAATTGCTGTAAATCTGCTGCATGGTACCACCTGATCAGATCAGTATAGCAGTTTGAGGAAAATATTCCCAGTTTGTTTCTTTATCCTTTGGGTAAATATTTATAAATAAATATGCTCTCGGACTTGAGCAACTGTAAATGGCAATGACCTGCTCCTTTTAGAACCTTAAAACATTGGACCGTTGGACTATTTCACTGAGGATTTGCAAAAAGGAAAAAAAGATTACAATCACAGCAGCACTGAACACACGGTTCTCAGAGCAGAAAGAAAATGTTAAAAGTAAAATAATGAAAAACAAATTATACAGAAAAGGGAACTTTTGGCCTCATAATTCGGAGGATTACTTCCCAAATGCCAGCACCACTTTAAAGGGCTCACTGAGCCTGAGGTTTTTCTATATGGGAAGAAGGAAGCCACAGACAGATTTTTCCATAGAAGAAAAGCAGGAAGCGCATGGTCCTGGTGCACACTTGTCTGGAAATGAGACGGGGTCCGAAGTGAGCTCCCACCCCCGCAGGGCTGGGGCTGCCCAGCTCTCCCCTCTGGGCAGCCTGAGGGTGCCTCAGCCTGTGCGGGGCTGAGCCAGAGAGAGAGAGGTCTGCAGAGAGCATGGTTGTGGGCCAGGTCGCCTGCTGGTGTAAAACAGCACAGCTACGTGGGAGATTGGCACCGTGCAGTTTCACACAAAATGCAGTCTCACATTGAATGTTGTTTCGGGAGCGGACAAATACTGATCAGCACAGATGCAGAATGGCAAATGCTGGTTTCTCACCCCTTGATAAAATCTCTTCCCTTTCCGGGCATAAACGTGTTTGAATACGCACTCGCAGTAAGTGAATACGTAGATTTTTGACCATACTGTTTGCATGAGGCTGTGCTCCAGCTGAGAAATGCTGGGGTTTGGTACTACAACCATCATGGCAACGCAGCTCCATCACCAAGACAGCCAGCCCAAACTACTGGCAGACCCAGTGTAGGTCTGACTGCACCTATTCCAGCAGACTTTCCTGATCTCGTTTCTCCAGTTCAGCAAGGACTCACTGCAATGATGTCAGACACACGTTCATTCTTCAGCCAGCAACTTAAAAAGCAAGCAGACAGGCAAGCAAAAAGAAGCCTTACTAGATTCCTCTCTCTTCTCCTGCCACAATTTTCTGGCAGGAAATCACCTTCTTTAGTCAGTGCTGTCTCAACTGGCTTTTTGGGGACTATTTGGTCACATCTGAGCTCCCTCAGAAGCATTTAATGACCAGCAAGACATGCAATGATAAATTACATACCCTGCAAGAGATATGATATGCTAAAAAAAGAAAAAAAAGAAAAAAGAAAAAAGAAAGAAGAAAGAAATAAGGAAAAACAAGATAAGAACTACAATATTTACAAGATACTTAACAGCTTGCAATCTGCTAACGGACTGGACTCTTACAGTCCTGCCACTTAAACATGATAAAACATCTCTCCATAAATGAATAAAAACATGTCCCAACATCAGAAATTACACTGACAACAAAATGGGAGAACTGATGATTAAAACCTGGGTAGTCCAAAGCAGAGGAGAAAGAGAAAGAAAAGGGGGGGGGAAGATAGAGAGAGAGGTTAAAGCTGGAACTTGGGCAAACTGCAACAAATTTTTCTGATGGTGGGCCATGGATCATTTCTTAGAGACTCGGTAGATGAGAGCTGATCTCTGCCCTTCTGAGCCTGTCATCAGCTTCTACAAGGTGTTGTGGGATATAATGAATGCAAAGGAAAATAGATGC